TGACTGCACTTTGCCAGAACAGGATGGCTCATTGTTGGAACAACCCATGGTACATCCAATATCCTTTCCAACACAGCAATTCAAAGGCATCAATTGTCCTGGAGCCTTCCTTCTTCACGTCTATCTTTCACTTGCGTAAGAGGAGACTAAAAACACCATGGCTTGGAACAGGCTTACCTTAGTCCTCAAAGGGCCAGCTTTATAACACATTAGAGCTATCTTTTGCAGCAGATTTGCCCAGTACAATACGTACATCATTTGATTTCCTGAATACTGCTTCCATGAGGATTGTGCATTTGAATGAAACGAAATCCTTTTCAACTTTAATCTTTTCTCTATTTCGACGTTGCTTAGTGTGAGGATTTGTTTTATGTTGAGATATAATCCCTCCTAGAGGCCGTAGTCTTTGATTTCCATCCTTAGTGTTGTGAGTCTGCCTGGTTTTCAGCAGGGAGAGTTGTGTCATTTGTATATCACAAGATGTTAATGAGTCTTCCACCAATCCTGATGCCACCTTTTTCTTCATATGATCCAGCCTCTAGGACTCTTTGCTCAGCATACAGATTGAATAAGTATGCAAACACACACTTTTCCTGATTTTAAGCCACACAGTTCATTCTGTTTTAACAATGGTCTCTTGGTCTATGTACTGTTTCTGTATAAGTGCAATTAAGTGTTCTGGAATTCTCATTTTTTCCAATGTTGTCTATAATTTATTTGATCTACACAGGCAAATGTATTTACATAGTCAATAAAACACAAGTAAATGTCTTCCAGTATTCCCTAATTTCAATCAGGATCTAACATCAGCAATGATATTCCTCATTTCACATGTTCTTCCGAATCTGGCCTGAATTTCTGAAAATTCTCTACTATAGCAGTTTATAAGTTATCTTCAGAAAACTGATTTACATTTAATATTAATGCTAGTGTTTGATAATTCCACATTCTGTTGGATCGTCTTTTTTCTGGAATGGGCACAAGTCTGGATCTCTTCGAGGCTACGGCCAGATTGCGGTCTTCTCATTTTCTTGGCATAGACAAGTGAGGAGCGAGTCCTTTTGGTACTGTATCCACTTTATTGAAACATCTGAACTAGTAGTTTTCCTTCTTTTTTGTCAAGTGCAGCTTGGACTTCTTAAGACCATGGGCTATTGATCACACACTACTCCTGAAATGCTTAAATGTGGACCAATTCTTTTTTGTAGAGTGACAGTGCATTCCTTCCATTTTCTTTTGATGTGTTGTTCAACAATTTGTCCACAGAATCCTTCAATATAGCAACTAGAGTCTTGAATTTTTTCAACTTGAGAAATGCTCAGTGTTTTTCTTTTTTTACTTTCTTTTATTTTTTTCTCCTTTGATTTTCTAACTGCAAGTCTTTGCACATTTCATTATAATATTTTACTTTTGTCTTCTTGAGATGCCCTTTGAAATCTTGAGGTTTCTTTTAAAAAATCATTTCTTCTATTTGCTTTAACTACTCCATGTTTAAGAATAAGGTTCTATGTCTCTTCTGATATCTATTTTGGTTTTATTTAAAAATTGTCTCTTTTTAATGATTTTTTGCTTTTTTCATGAATGATGTCACCCCATTTAGCCATGCTGGTTGTAGGGTACTTGTCCATCAAAACCTAAACTTATGGAAACCAATCACAATGATCTACATATAACCCCTTCCCAGGGGGACGGACAACAGAAGAGTGGGTGAAGGGAGACATCGCACAGTATAAGACATGAAAAATTTATAAATTATCAAGGGTTCATGAGGGAGGGAGGGAAAAAAATGAGGACTTGATACCAAGGGCTCAAGTAGAAAGAAAATATTTTGAAAATGATGATGGCAACAAATGTACACATGTGCTTGACACAATGGTGTATGTATAGATTGTGATAAAAGCTGTATGAGCCACCAATAAATGACTAAAATTAAATAAATATAACAAAGCAACGCAACACAACACACACCCACACACCCACACACCCTTAAACTTATTTCCTGTTACCAAATCAGCTACTTTTCTCAACTCTATTTTGATAATCCTGGTCATAGAATTTGAAGAATACCTGAGGAGGCCTCCTATCCACCTGGCTCTCCAGCCTCAGCTCACTGTAGGCCTGAGAATGTGATTCTTAGCCAGATTGTTTGACTTTTAGAAAGGTCAACAAAACTCTGTATCCATGTAGCTTCTATCCTCTTGTATGAGCTTTATATTTTTGAATAATCTGATTTTAATATTAGTAAGAATGATTACAGAACCCGGGTTCTTTCAATAGCCATAATCACTAGAATTAAAAGATACATCTTTAAAGAAATTTCCTTTTGAAAAAACAAAGTACTGTATATACTCGCGTATAAGCCAACCTGAATATCAGCCGAGACACCTAATTTTATCACAAAAACTGCATAAAAAAATGTGCCGAAAAACTCAATGTATACATGAGTATATATGGTACTTTTCAGTATGAACTTACTGGAAATGATTTGCACCACACAGGCATGAATCAGAATTGACTCGACAGCACATAAACCAACACATTTTCTGTATTTCTGGCAAACTGAATATTGCCTCTTGGCATTACTACCATGTTCCTTCACAAAGTCTCTAATGTCAAACATGAACTAGTTTATTACAAATTTATTTATTTCTAGAATATTGAAAGAATAGCCCAAATCCTCCAATCAGTTGTGAGGCCTGTGGTTTATTGTTTTTTGTTAGGTTAAGGACTATATTCCAGTTACCAAAATAGACCTGAGTGATATGGGCAACCGTCTGTCTCATCTCAAACAGAGGCATGCCAGAAAAAAACAGAAAACGTTTTAATCCCCGAGTAACCCTGAAACCAAGGAAAGGGAATCCTCAGGTGCCAGAAACCTGAGGACACTAAGTGGAAGGTAACGCTAAGGAGATCAATGAGAAGCTGGGACCATAAATATATCTTAACACAGGAAGGGGGCTGAGGGCTTTACTTCTGGGGTATGAGCTATACATAAAGAAAGGTGAGACTGACCTACCTGTATAATTCTGAGAGAGTTCACGAAATGGGACATAGGAACCAGAAAAAAAATCCCACCCCCTTCCAGCCTAAGAAAGGCTGCCATGAGGTGAAAAGTTAAGCTTGAGAAACTGGCATAGCAAATGTGTATGATGCCAATTCACACCACCAGGGTGGTACTGTGACCTTGAGACTGGAAAACTGACACAAAAACTTGTAAAAAATTAAAAAGAAAACCTCTAAAAAAAAAAAAAAAGAGCTCTAGTTAATGATATACACGCAGATGTGTTTAGAAATGGAGTGTATGGCACCTACAACTTACCGTATATACTTGAGTATAAACCGACCTGATTATCAGCTGAGGCACCTAATTTTACCACAAAAACTGCATCAAAAATGTGCTGAAAAAACTCGGCTTATACATGAGTATGTACGGTACTTTGAGATGCATTAATTAAGGCAAGTTAACTGATGGGTAGAGGCTGTCAAGCAAATATAACAAAAAGTTAAGGAATCTCAATGGCGGGCATATGGTGTTCGTGGGCACAATTCTTCTTTGCGCCTGAAAAATTCTGTAATAAACAGTTGAGTAAAATCATACGGTTTTGAGTTTAGGCTGACCAGAAATATGGGAGATGAAGAGGGACAGGCTTAGGGCTCTGAATGACATGCTCCAACAGTGACACACGCTTTGAGGGCCCAAAGACATCTACGCAGAAATGTTCGCCAGGCAGTTAGGAACCCCACTAGTCTGAGACACTGCATGAGCGCTCAGGTGGCTTACACTGCCATTCCTTAAGTGCCCTCCGGCCCCCACACAAGTCCTTCCTCCTTTTTAAGGCCCAGCTGAAAAGGCTTGCTTTTACCTGCCCACCTCCAGCAACGTAAGATTAACCTATGGCACTGTCATATACCACTAGTACGGAAATCTGTAGGGCAAACACAGAAATCACACATACGAGGGAAAGAGTGCTCAAAGAAACATATGAATCAAAATTGACCTAGAATCTGTCTTGTTCTCTATGTCTGCACTGACTTTTAACTCAGAAAGTATAGTCATTGTTTTCCCTGATAGGATCCCCTCACGCACACCCTCTTCTCTAAACGGTTATCCTTTGCCACAGGGAAACTGTCTTGCACCTCCACTGCAGATAGCAATGAGATTCCTCCTCTCAAGTGGCTTCTAGACTTACTTTTCTCCTTAGCTTTTTGTTCAGCTATGATGTGATGTTTCCTTTTGCAGAACAAGAAGGAGCTGTCCTCGGGTGGCACAACTATGATCAATGCTTCCTTCTTCTACTATTCAGAATTACCATATTTCTACCAAAGTGCCTACCATATTACACCTTGATAAGGGGTGAAGCTTTTTGTTTTTTCATAGGAACCTTAATGGCACAGTTGTCATACCATGTATTACAACGGCTGGACAGGTCCTCAAGTGGGAGGACAGATATCAAAGAGAGGTGGTTAATTCTCATTCCCGTCTCCCCAACGGACAGTGAAGTCGCTGAGGCCAGGAGCTCCACCGGCTCCTTTGTGCCTCTCTCGGCACCAAGCTCAGCATTGGGCTGCACGATTGGCAAGCACTCCGTGGTGCAAGAACAAACGCTTGGCCCTAAAGAAAACACAGGAAAAGTACCCAATGCCAGGCGCAAGCCCTCAGCTTATTCCATTGAACTTAACTGGTCATAAAGCCTAATTTTAAAAACCAATTTCTCAAAATGTCCTCAAAGAACACCTTCTCCTATGTCTCAACTGCCCCAGGAAGACAGCATTGCTGAGAGACAGAAACTAGGCTTGGCCCTTCTAAGAATTCTAAGTACCAGTCGGAGCAAGTCAAGGTATCCCTCAGTCTTTCCTTGGTGAAGTGAAGGAATAGCAATATTTTATACTATATGGTTCCATTTGCCTCTTGCCCACCTCCTCGGCCCTACTTACAATGGTTCACCTTGGAGGTTTGACTCCAAGCCTACTCACACTTTTAAAAAAGGTTTAAATTTTACCTTCTCTCCCCTTTCTCTCTCTCTGTCCTTCTCCTCTCTCTTCTTTTTCTTCTCACTGTGGCCGTCTGTGTGGAGGCTAGGAAGTGGCGGAGGAGGGGCAGCTGTTCCACTGTACGGGACATTGGGAGGAGGGACAGGTGCCATGGGGACCTCGCCCCCTGCTGGGATGGGAAGGCCTGAACTTCTCTTGGACTTGGAGTGCCGCCTCTCTTTATGCTTTTCCTTGTCCTTCTTCTTTTTGCTCTTCTTTGACTTTTTCTTCTTCTTGATTTCCCGGTAAGAGTCGTCTATTACTAGCTCCCCAGCCTCTAGCTCCCCACCTGAGGATGAGTCCGATTCCACTAGAATAGGTTCAATCCCTGACAGATCGAGGTTCGTATGGTGGGGCTCTGGGAACTGGGAGGCCTCGGATGCTTCCGGGCCAGGAGACGAGTGTGGGTCTGAGGATGACTTGTGCTTCTTCCGGGCCGATTTCAGGAAGCTCTGCAACTCATGTCCCAGGAGTGGAGCACCTTGCTCATCCCGAGCTGACTTCTTCGAGGACTTCTTCACCGCGGCCTGCTGAGAGGGGCACTGGAAGGGCTCCTCCTCGACAGAGCTGCCGCCTTTCTCCTTTGGGGAGAGAATGAGCTTCATCTTTAAGCCATCAGGCTCCCGGAGGGTCAGGGTCTCTGTGTTCACATACAGCGGCTTCATTTTCTTTGATTTGTGGGCACCTCCATCCTCCAGGGGCAGCTCCCCACTACTTCCGCTTCCTTTCTTCCTGTGCTGATCCTTTCTACTTTCGGAATGGCTGGAAGAACTAGAGGACTTCTCCCCTGTCTTTTTGGAAGGCTTGGCACCTGTGGCCAGTGGGGAAGTGATGGCCTTCAGCAGGTCCATAGCTGTATCAGCAGGCTGTGGGCTGGGCTTTTTCTTTTTCTTCTGTGACGATTCCAAAGATGAATGGTCTGGAAATAAGCAAGACAAGCAATGTCAATAATGGCAGGAAGCCACTTGCAACACATTTGCGCTCTCACCCGAAACACCCAACTAACAAGAGGACAAGACTAACAGGAATGATGTCAGGGGAGGCACCTTAACAGTCCGTGATGCTCAAGTGATTCTTGGTCTTGGCAGGTCCTGCCTCATCTCCAGGGGACAGTCCTCACCACTAAAGTTATTCCTTTTCACTGAATCTTCCCAAGCTACCAAGAAGAGGATGCCCAGAAGGGTGGGCTATCACTGTAAGAGGAAGGGATCTTTCGATCTAGACGAGACTGCAAGCGGAGCTACAACTGTTTCTGTGCTTGGGACAATTTCATTCTGGCCGAAGGTGGTCTTCAGCTACGTGCATATCACAGCTCAGAGACAACTGGCTTATGAGTGGAGAGACACTGGATGGAGAGGCAACCCACAGGTGTAGGCCAGAGGGCCCAACGACTATGTATGGTAAAGGAATGCTAGATAATGGGCATAAGATAAGTGGATATTGGGAGGGGGATAAGGAACCTGGTACCTGGTGTATCACAACTGAAGACTGTTCTTCTATGCTGAATCCTCCAAAATACCAGCCCTCCACCTCTCTCCTCCTTCACACAGGTTTATCGGCACTCAGAACAAGAACCACTGTCCTGTTAAATAGGCCACTGAGTCAGCAACATCTGGATCCCTTCCCCTTACCCTGACTCCAAGAGCCAGTGATGTGTTGCTCCCACCTGTCGCCCTCTCCCATCCTTACCTCCATAGTAGTAGTCATCAGAGGAGTGCTTCCGCTTCTTTTTGTGCGTGTCCGTCCCCAAGAAGTAAAGGTCACTGTCCTGAAATTAAAGAGGGACACTTGCTGAATAAACGAGGAGGGGAACGCCGAGTGGGACTGCTGTGCTTTGACTTTTAACTTTGTCAACCATAACTCCGCTCAGTGCCAGGAAGTCAATTCTGAACCGCCCCTGTGCGTTTCCGAGAACGTAACTTTTCATTGCAGAAGCCAGCCTCATCTTTCTCCTGAGAAGCTGGAGTTGCAAAATGCTGACCTTGAGTTTAGCAGCCCGTTACACCACCAGGCGCCTTGCAAAACACAAGCAACAATAAAATGTATGTAAAAAATGTAAGGGAAAAAACCCTGTGTATTCAGTGACATCTGATTTTTTAGAAGGTTTAAAAAGAAATTTCCTTTTTCACATATTAAGAAATACAAGAGGCCCTCAGGACCAATAATGAGTAGCAATACTAGGAGGGGAAGGGGAAGGTGAGGGGAGAAAGGGGACCGATAACAATGATCTACATATAAACCCCTCCCAGGGGGACAGACAACAGAAAAGTGGGTGAAGGGAGACATTGGTTAGTGTAAGACTAATTTATCAAGGTTTCATGAGGGAGGAACGATGGGGGAGTGGGGGAAATGAGCTGATACCCAGGGCTCAAGCAGAAAGAAAATGTTTTGAAAATGATGGCAGCATATGTACAAATGTGCTTGACACAATGGATGCACGTATGGATTGAGAAGAGCTGTACAAGCTCCCAATAAAATTATTTTTTAAAAAAAGAAGAAATACAAGAGAGCTTCAAAGTGTTCATAGAAAAAAAGCTCCACTATTTTCCAACCACATCTTTCTATGAGCTTTCGTGGTTAAAAACGTCCCCAGGTCAAAGGTTCAGAGCCTTACCTTTAGCTTCTTCTTGGAAGAATTCCTGACCTGAGCAGCAATTTCTTCCTCTTCCCTTAGGAAATCTTTGTAAGAACGTTTCTTTTCTCGCTGGCTCCGGCCAGCTGCCAGCCCTATGTCCTCCAAGCTGTGATCACCGTCAAAGCAATCTGAGGAGCGGGGGTTCATTTGGGAAAAGAAATGAGAGTCAAGTTAAGTAAGGATCAAAGCAGCATGCACATACCGAATGCCACGGTTCCTGATTTCTAAAGGAAAGCACTGATCCAGTACGTCCACTGCAGTACAGGCTAGGTCCAAGGGGACAAGAATATATTTCTTGATGAGATGGGTGCAGGTACAAGAACCGAACCTGAAGAAACAATGCTTCCACACTATGCAAGGCCCAATGTGCATCCTCAGAGACATGGTTTCTTAGTTGTGATTTGGCGGGTGGCCACGGACTTGCAGAGGTGAAGCTGGGAAGAATAAGGATTCATGTGCTGCGCTGTGCTGCAGGAGTCCAATATGTGATTCCTATCCTCAGATTCCTGCACATTGGAGCTGGCAAGGACCAAGAGTGCTGCCGGGGATCACCCCCATATGCTAGACTGCTGTTTCAGACTCACAGGCTGGAACCCCTGTCTTGTTTTTCATTTCCATGGGCCCAGCCTGGGGGTGTCGTGGAGGACGAATATCATTAATAGCGCTCTGGACCATCACCTGGGAGTCCAAGCTGTGGTGCCCAGTCCTGGTCACTATGTCCATGGGCTGCAAGGATTGCAGAGGATACCCCCTTTGGAATGCTTCTCAGATTAAGGGGTCATACCTTCTTTCTTCACGGAGTCATCATAAGCCATGGCGGTCCTGCAGGGCCTTTGAGAATGTCACTGTGCCCCGGCTCCTTCCCGTCTACTGGACCAGGTCTGAGAAACAAAGAAGGAAAACCCTTCTGTCATGTGAATTCACTGTGGAGAAGTAACCTTCCAGGTGGAATGTGTGGTGATCCAAGGGTCGACTGGAAGGGCAGCAAGAAATAAAGGAGTGTCTTGTCACCTCCTCATTCTGTTTGTCAGTCTAGTGGGGAGGAGACTTCAGGAAGCACACTAGGCTTAGATTTGAACCAAGAGTTACGGGTCGGGCTTGGGAAAGTATATAAAATACCTCCCCTGTAAAAACACTTTGAAACTATGGAGCGTTCCTGAAATGCCAACAAGAGTGATTACACTGAGACAGAGCAAAAACAGACACTGGACGCTCTGGTTACCCAAGGCACGCACAGGCATGCAGGTTGCAGAAGAAAACAGACCATGAAATCATACTGGGTGGAATGGTGACACTACAAGATTAGATTTCCATTTAAATAGGCATGTTAACATTATAGGGGTATGAATGACCTTTAGAACATTCTTCCCCCTCACATGTATTTTATGGGGCTAAGACTTTGCTCCAATTCACACAAGTAAAAAAGCAGGTGAACTTTTGACACTAGTTGGTTATGCAGTTCACAACACTTATCAGATAGCTTTTTATATAGTTTTGATTAGATGAAAATCAGGGAATGAGGTAAAAATATGGGAGACTTGCTATTTGTCCATGGTAATTTTTTATGATTTTCACTAGGAAGAATTACTATGATTTTAATGCTATATAGTATTAAATGTGTTAAAATTATTATTTTACACTTGGGTAAATATCAATTCTTACTTTGAAGATGACAAGTGATACTTTATGGATAGGTAATGTCTCAAGTCCTGTAGGAATGATCTTTTAGATAAACTTCAAATTGTTTTACAAAGTAGACTGAAGATGCTCTCTTCCAGCTAGGAAACTGTTTAGAAGCTGATTGATGGGTCACATGCTTATGTTGTATTTTACCTTCATTATTATAGCAGGACTCACTTCAACAGGGCTTGAATAACTAATCCCTTGCGGTAGGTGTGGATGGTACTGAAGTGTAAAACTTGTGTCAAAGTATGGATTCTATTAAGCAGGGAAAGTTGCTTGAGTTAAATGAAACAAATTTAAAAGACTTATTTGTGCAAGTCAGATAAAAAGCAGGCACAGAGAGGCCTATATTGAAAACAGGAGGAAAACAAAGATTAGAAGAGTGATTTACAAGAATAAGTAAAAAAAAAAAAAAAAAAAAAAAGCAGTTATCCATTCCTTAAGCAGTGACATAAAGAATGGACTTGGTTAAAAAAAAAACAACAGCGGAAGTAAACCAGAGGAACAGGATCGTCTAAAGGTAGACCTGAAAATTCCTTGCTCAAGGGAAGCTTTCAGAGGAAATGAAGGAGCTAGAAATGTATGGGCAGGCCTCAAGTAGAAAGATATATTGTAGCTAGTTTCCCATATTCCAGCATTAAGTATCCAACTTTCCCCAATGGATACTACTGATTTTCCTTTCTATCCATCCAAGTGCTACTGTTCAAAAGGGAGTGGAGGGTGGGGCAGAGGGCGGAGCAAGGAGGAAAGTCAAAGGATTGTATACTCAATAATTTGGAAATTGTATGTCCTTTCATTGGCACCAATATCTTGAATTTTTAAGAAAAAACACATTGATTTCTGTATGCAAATAATGCCAAGAAATAGCAAAATTTGAAGCTTAATGCTTTTCATGACAAATAATTTTTAGCCAAGAATACCTAATAATGGGGAGGGGCAATTTTTACTCAATAGCATAAATATGGCTACCAATCTGTCAATGACAAATTGCAGTTCTACATGTAGGGCCCAGGCCTTTCTTTCCCTTTGGTAACACCGAAGGGCAGGGCGGAGCTATCGAACACTCAGAATAGGATGAGAAGAAATGAGTAAAGGCGCTCTGAAACACAGCCAGTGGATTGAAAACGTTGTGTGTGGGGGGAAATATTAGGCCAGTTTAGCATTAGGTTCGTCGCTGTTTAATTTTTCTTGAAAATCAACTGAAAAGGACTTTATAAATGATGAGATTAAATAACCCTGTAGAAAAATGGGAGAGGCCTGTAGGCAAGTCAATTCAGTGAAGAATCAGGGCAGCTAAGAGCTTGAAAAAGAAAAACCAAATACAAGGGTCTCTATCAGTCACAGCTGGGGAAGGCCGATGGGCCCTTAATGTCTAGATTCTCTAAACTCAGGATATTATTGCAGCACAGGGGCTAGCTTTGGTTGCTGACTCATGAAAGAAAGGTAAGATATCTCAAGCAACAGCATGGAAGAAAGGCAGTTGAGGGCAGTTAAGGAAGATCAGATTAGTGCCTGATACTCCTCCCAAGCCGCAAACATGACCCAGGAGAAATCTGTGGCTCAAGGGTTGGCAGCTGACTATCCAGTTAGTGAAGATGAAAATTCTTAGGTTTGATTTTCAAATGAGAAAAAACAAAGGCCATCATTACATTAGATGTTGGCAAATCTAAAACAGGCATTAAAACCCATTTTCCCGGGTTCCATAATCTTAAATTCATTATGTAACAGTTAGTGGAAGTAGGAAACATGTCATTATAAACATATATATTCATACCTCTATGTATGAATATGCAAACTGTGGCACGTCTCTTGGGAGGATTTTTTTAACCCCTTCAGGACAAGCAAAGGGAAAGGCGGGGCTGCTCTTCTACTTGTAGAGGAATGTACAACTTGTCTTTTGGAACTGGCTCTGGGGATCGCCACTTTTGGGAAAAGCTAAAATCCCTCAGCTAGGGTGCTTGGAAGATACAAATGATAAAATACCGGAGGAAGAGGGGTGGGGGGCAAAAAGTTTGAGAAGGGGATCTTTTCAGGTGACCGAAGCCCCACTTATGAAGAACACGTTTTGTTTCTTCGTGCAGAATGAAGACTGCTGAAGGAGAAGGAACCAAGTCAGCCGCCCAGAGACACTCGGGCCCAGTCGGAGGTGCGCTTTGTCCCAGGTTCCACGGTCTCTTCTCCCAAGTCTTTCCGGGAACGACTCCGGTCGCAGGTCAAAAGGGGAAGGTGCGCATCCGGTGGTTGCCGGCTTTCCGATTGATTGATGCTGAAGGTGTGTGCTGCTTCTAGATTCGAACAGGTGACGTCTTCTCGCGGCTCCAGTCTTGGACCCAACTCAGCATTCTTGCCATTCCTTTCCTGCAGGACCTACCTCTGTACCTGCAGCACTCACAGTCCCGGCCAGCTCGGGGCAGCAGCAGCGGAGGAGCCTGGGCTGGGGGGCTGGATCTTCTCAGGGCCACCGCACACGTGGGCTGACAACTCACATCCCCACAGGGCCGGGAATACACATTGACAAGCCTGGTCCACTCCTGGCCCGCGGCTTTTCTGCGGGACTCTGTGGTGTGTGTGTGTGTGTGTGTTTTAAATTTTTATTTTGGAAGTTTATTCTTTCCGGGAGGGGTTATCCCCAGCCAGCAGCTCGGGCATCGGGCTGGAG